ATAAGTGGGCATCAAGAGGCTGGCGCTGTGGCCCACGGTCAGCATGCTGCTTGGGACACCTGTGCCTCTCACTTGAGGACCAGATCTGAAACTCTGCTCTGCTTCAGACCCAACTTCCTGCTGACCCTGAAAAGTAGCAGGGAATGGCGCAAACACGGGAGGCAGCTGCCGGCTCCCAGCCCAGCACGGCTGCTGTGGGCATCAGGGAAATGAAGCAGCCGGTGGAAGGTGCCTGTGTGCGTGTCCATCTCTCTCTCCCTGTGGCACGCACTGTGGCACATGGGTTCCTGACACCAGTGACACCAGCTGAGGTCTTGGTTTGAGTCACAGGTGGCTCTGCAAAAGCAGTGCAGAATGGCCCAAGTTGTGGACCCCTGTCACCCATGTGGGAGACCTGGATGGAGTTCTGGGTCACTTAGGGAGTGATCAGTGAATGGAAAAAATCTGTGTGTGTGTGTCTCCTTATGCCACTCTGCCTTCCAAATAAATCACATATTAAAAAAAAAAGGACTAAATGTAGGAGGAGGCAAGTAAGCCCCAGATCTGGAGAGGGCCGCGTTTCTCAATAATCAAAGACCAACACTCCACAGGAGGCCCAGGGATGAGAACCTGAGGTGAAAGCACGGAAAGCAACAGTCGTCCCCAGACTCTGGGCTGTGCGGTCCAGGGCGTCACAGGCGGACAAACGGGACAGAGACACCCAGGACGGTGTGCTACAGACCACAGGGGACCAGGCAGGCCGCCAGCGAGTGGGCTGGTCAGAAAAGTACACCCTCCTGGGGGTTTCCAGGCAGCGAGGAAGATCAGAGAGAACAAGAAATGGGGAACAGGGCAGCCACGGACAACGGGGCGTCCTCCCCGGCTGTGCAGGGCAGAGTGCGGGCCAAGGTGACAGGCCAGGAGGGAGCAAGGGCAGTGCCCGCTCCCAGCACTGCTGAGGGCCTCTGCTACAACAGGTCCCAGACCACATCCCCGAGGAGGCCTGCACACAGCCGCAGGGCACGGGCTGCGGCCCAAGCCCATCAGCACATACGGGCCAACTGCAGGACGCGTCCCCAGGATACCAAGAGAGAGGATCCCAACCTCCCCTACCAACCACAGCAGAGAGGAGAGACAGAGAAAGAGCTTCCATGCACTGGTTCACTCCCCAAGTGGTCACAGCAGCAGCTGGGGTAGATCCAATCTAAAGCCAGGAGCTTTCCTAGCTTCCCCAGAGTCTCCCACAGAGATCCTGGCCCAGCACTTTGGGTCATTATTCCCTGTTTTCCTAGGCCATAAGCAGGGAGCTGGAAGGGACGTGGAACAGCTGGGATACTAACCCATATTGCGTCCCGACACATACAAAGCAAGGACATTGGACCCAGTGGCGTGGCCTAGTGGCTAAAGTCCTCACCTTGAACACGCCAGGATCCCATTTGGGCACCAGTTCTAGTCCCGGCAGCTCCACTTCCCATCCAGCTCCCTGCTTGTGGCCTGGGAAAGCAGTCAAGGACGGCCCAAAGCATTGGGACCCTGCACCCGTGTGGGAGACCTGGAAGAAGCTCCTGGTTCCCGGCTTCAGATTGGCGCAGCACCGGCAGTTGCACTCACTTGGGAAGAGAATCATTGTAGGAAAGATGTTCCTCTCTGTCTCTCCTCTTCTCTGTATATCTGACTTGGTAATAAGAATAAAATAAATCTTAAAAAAAAAAAAAGCAAGGACATTAGCCACTAGACTGCAGCGCTGGACCCTGGCCATCTACTCTTGCTTCTTCCAGGCCACTAACATGGAGCTAGATCAGAAGTGGCATACACAGGAGTCCAGTTTGGGTCCCCTTTGACGAGGTTTCTTTGGGCACTCCCAGCCTTAACTGGACTCCTGGGCTCCCAGGCTCTGTGGTCTCCTCAGTCACTGAAGCCTGTGCAATGACTGCACAGGGGGACAAGACAGATCCTGCAGCGGATGGAAGGCAGAGCAAACTGGACAGCTCGCCCAGCTAAGGGCCAGCAGCAAGCATGTGGATGAGTGGAGACTCAAGTGGATGACATCAGCCAGTAGACCTGGAAGGATTTCCTCACCTCGGAAGCAAGCACCACCATCTCAGAACCACTGAACCACTGAAGCAGCACCTGGGGACAGGCTCCAAGTGAGGACCCAGACGATGACATCGAGTGGCTGTCCCACATCCTCGGGTACTGCTGTGGTTAGGTTGCTGGGAGCGGCCCCATCCTCGTCTCGCTCTCCTCTTTCCCCAGAAACAGGAAGAGACAGGAAAATTGGAAGCAGTAGTCTCTCCCACATTCCCTCACTCCTGGCCTCTTCCCATCATGACTGGTGGTTCGCAATGGGCAGGCATCCTTCTCATCATCAAACATCATCAAAAATAAAACGAATCTATCATTATAAATAAATAAACAAAATAAATTCCAAAAGAGAACAACAGGCTCAAGAGTGGACCTTTTATAAGAAGCCGCTCACCAGTAAGCAGGAGTGAGTACAGAGGCAGGCAGCCCAGCCCTGGCACGCAGACCCGCCTTCCCACACTGCCCTTCCTTGCAGGCCCCTCTGAAACACTCCCCAGTACAGTGGCAACACAGCAGGCACCTCACCGTGCCTGTGGAAAGAAAGCCACCGGGCGCCCCAGGAGCCACGTGCCCACCTTCCCTGGCCTATGCAAAGCCCCGAGAGAAAGCTCATGCCTGCTCGCCCTGCCAGGGCCACTCAAGTCCACTGTCAGTGACTCCTGAACACAACTCTGCACCCCAAGTGCACTCACAGACTCAACCCTATAAATGAACACATTCCAAATGGCCCAGCACTTCTAGGAGTAAGTTTCAGTTACAACACCAGGAAAATGTTCTAGACTGAAAGGATGGAAACAGACTTTGTGCAGCCACATGGTCACACCCCGATAGCCGTCAGGAAGCCCAGAAGCCTGGGACATGACGGCTGGACACCGAACATCACCCATCCTCTCTATTAAAGCCCTGGGTCTCCTGAAACGCACAACACACCGCCGGGAACACCTGATGATTCCTGCACAAAACTCTTCTCCACAGAGCTACTTCCTCCCGGGAAAACCACCCTTTGACACCGTGTCCGCACAGCAAGGCCACACTCCCCCCACCAAGCAGGGGCACCCGCTGTCTCAGCAGCAACGGCGACTCCCCAGAGATCTATCCTTACCCAAACCCTCTACAAACACCAAGGGCCTCACAAGGGGCCACGATCCTCCCAATGCGTCACCTCCAAGGCAACCAGCCTTGTTCACCCCTCGCCCCAGCAATGCCTGCCAGCCCACCGACGTGGGCCAACTCTGTCCCTCAGGAGGGCCACTCAGCTGCCCACAAGCACCCCCAACCTGCCGGAGCAGCCGTCAGCTTCTCCTGTCTAAAACCACAGCTGGGAGCCCCATCTGCCTTGGAGAGAGGACCACTTCCCAAGCAGCTCACAGCAGCATCAGGACCAGCTGAGCACCGCTGCTGACACCCTGGACAGACACACCTGCTCCACTTCCCAGGACTCGGTATGTCCCTCCACAGGCAACCACACTGCCCATCCCCAGCTCTACCCTCCAGCGAATCCAAAACATGCTGCCTTTCCCCAAGCAAGGTCCGGATCCCCCCAGGAACAGGGCGGAGCCTCTTGGCTGACGGCTTTCTGAGCGGCCAGCAGTCACCGAGTTGAGCCAACTGCCTACAGACACACACCTCCTGCCCCAGCCGGCCATCAGGACACGCAGGACCAATGCAGGGGCCTGGGCAGAGGCACTGGAGACCAAGGACAAGTCAGGTGATACCGGGTCTTTCCCGTGTGAGGCACAGCCCACCTCTCCCTGCGGTACCCAGGAGGGGCCTCCCTCAGCACCTACAGCTCACAGACTGGCCCCTCAGGAAGTGGGAGCAGCCCACCGCCTCCCCGCACAGTGCACATAGCTCCCGGACGCCTGAACAGTCACAAATGCAGAGGCCCCAGGGTTCTTGCAGGCCGGCAGCAGCACCCCGACGTCTGTGGGCAAGTCCGTCTGTCCCGGAGCAAAAAGCCCAGGCTAGGCAACCTATGTAGGGACCCCAGCTCACGGCCACAGCACTCACTTCCTCCTGGGGAGGGCTGCTTGCCCCCCAAAACCCACTTCTGCTCCCTGCACGCCCAAGCTTGCTCAGTGAGAAGCTGCAGACAGCTGTATGGGTCCCTCCACCCACAGTGCAGCCCCATGCACCCTGGGGCTCCCGGCCCAGCACTACCTCCCTCAGGGCAAGCCCTCCACCCAGCAGGCTCCGGGTCAGTCATTCCCAGGATGAGTTGTGGGGCTCAAGGAGAACTCAGACTTGCGCCCACAGCCCCCACACGAGGAGGCCGAGCGCCTGCAGGCTAGGAAGTCAGCCCGTCTGCGGGGCTCTGCCTTTTGCAGCCTCCCATTCTTCCAGCACCCACCGCCCAAGGTCTGAACCTTCGAGTTCAACCATCTCCCAAGACTCCAGGAAGTTCACCCAAGGAAAACATCACCACCCCGAGAGACAGCAACACGGGAAACCAGAGACCCCTGGGGGCCCCTGGCAGGACAGCGTGTGACTCGGACTCAACCAACGGCCGCTCTGTTTGGGTCTTTTGCCTGCAAGGTCCCTTCTATCTGCTATCTCCCTCGCCCTGGGCGACGCTTGCAGCCCGACCTCCCCAAGCCTCCCCGGGGCGCAGCAGGAAGGGGCCACCGGCCAGGCGCCCGGAGCATCAGGTGCTGCTCCGGCCGGCTCCTCGGCACACCGGACGCGAGGCGAGCCCCAGAGCAGAGGCCGCGCCGACTCGGAAACAAACTTTCCAGGCACTGCCACCCCGCCTGGCCCGGTGACACCTCCAGGCCTCCCCGCGCGGCCCGGCCGGCGCCACGACCCGGGACGGCCCGGGGAGGCCGAGCAGCGAGCGCGGCCCGGCCGAGGCAGCCAAGGCTCCGCCCGGCCCCGGGGACCCTAGGCGGGCGGCCCGGCCGGAGCTAACGGCCCGCCCGCCGCCGCCGAGCACTCACCAGCTGGCTGGTGGTCCTGGCCATGGGCCCCCGCCGGCGCCCAGCCTCCGGCGCCCCCTCAGCGTCCTCCGCCCCGCGCCGGAGCCCCAGCAATGGCCGCCCTCATCCTGCGCCCGCCGCCCCCGGCGCCGCCCCGCCCCCGCGCCACGCCGGGCGGGACTTCCGCAGCGCCGCCGCAGCCGCCCACGCGCATTGGCTGGCCGCGACGTCGCTCCGCGGCGCCCGCGCGGATCCCCCTCCCCCCGCACCTGCGGAGCCGCATTTCCGGGTTCGGGCTCGGCGGCCGCGAGCCGGCCCTGCCCCGCCGTGGGACGGGGACGCCGGGCGAGCCAATGCCGGGCCCGGCGGGGCGGGGCTGCCTGTCACCCTGTCGCGTCGGCACCCCGGCCGGGAGGCCGAGGCTCGGGGCGGGGGGCGCCCCCAAGGTCCAGAGTTCGTACCCGAGGAGCGGCGCGGCCGGGGCTCGAACCCGCGGTGCGGACCCCGAGAAGCGCCCCTTGGCCGGTTTCCGAAGTCGTGAATGTTTGCAGAAGGAAAACTGGGACTTTCAAGCCCTGGATGAAGCAGCGAAGCAGCGCTTCTCGCTCCGTTGTCGCAGGGACACCCTCGGCACCCGTCCCGCCAGGGCCGGGGGTTCCTCTTTCTATGCGGATGATGCTGTTTTGACCGCGGCACCCACACTCAGGTTGCAGGTACAGTTCAGGCTACAGTCCATTCGCACAGCGACTGTCGGGTTTGACCCAAAGCCTTGTGTTTTGCGTGTGCATTTTGTTTTGGAAGATTGACTTACGTGAAACAGTTACACAGAGGGGGAGATTGTCCACCCACTGGTCCAACTTCCCAGATGGTCAACGGCCGGACGGGGAGCCAGGCACTGTGGGTGCAGCCCAAGTGCTTGGGCCACCTTCTGGGTCAGAAATGGAGCAACGCCGTTTGGATTGCTGCGGTCACTGGTGGTAGTTTAAGCTGCACTGCCACCAATGTCTCCCTATTAGAGAGGGAGAGAGAGCTTCCACTTGCTGGTTCACTCCTCAAAATGGTTGCAACAGCCTGGGCGCTTGAGCCATCTTCCGCTGCCTTATCGAGTCCAGAATCAGATCAGAAGAGGAACAGCCAGGACTTGAACCAATGCCCATATAGGATGCCAGGGTAGCAGACAGCAGCTTAACAAGCTATACCACAACACACCCCTGCTCTCATCTATTTTTAAACAAGGTGTCTTTGGGTTTTTTTTTTTTTTCTATTTCCAAAAGGAATATAGAACCAGATGACAGAAAATCTTTCTCTCTGTACTCTCTGCAGATCTGCCTTTCGAACAAAAATAAATGAATCTTAAAAACAAGAAAAGGAACAGGCATTAACATTTACTCAGTACTTTCCTGTAGGGGACACCTGATATTGTTACCCCACTTTTCCAAGGAGGCAACTGAGACATGGGACAGTTGCTTCACTTGCCCACGGCTGTGTGGGCAGGACTGGGACCCAGGCACGCCCCCGTCTTAGCAGGGCAGGTGCAGCACCACCCGTGCCGGGCTCAGGCCCTGATGCCTGTTGGCCCTGGCTCCTTCTGTTGACAATGTGCCCTCCTGTGGCCACTGCCTCTCCACCGCAGCTCCAGACTCTGACATCCTACCTGAGGCCAGAAGCAGTGCTTGGGCGCCCCCCCCTCCCCGGGCCAAGCTCTCTCCTAAGGAACTCTGGAACCATCCCCAGCCTCGGCTGTGGCTCCCTCCTGAGCAGAGGCCTTGCAGCTTTGTTCCATAGGATGAACAGTAGCGTGGTGGGCTGCCAGGTCGCGTGCTCACTCCAAGAAGGCTGTTTCGGCTCACCTGCTCACCCTCCATGCTCACGGCGAAGCCCAGGGTGACCACCAGCTCTGGGCAGCACGCCGAGCCCCCTCCGGCTTCTGGAACTGCTGCTCGTGTCCCCCAGACAACCAGGGCCAGGGGACTGCTTGGGCATGAGCGCCAGGCCCATGATCTCTGCCGATAGGGGACAACGCGGTGCTGCCCAACTCTGGTGCCCCTCCCCACAGCCTCTGCTTATGTTTATTTTGTGCTCACACAGTAAGATAATGCTGGACACTTTTGCAATTTACTTTGCATTACAGCTTTATAAAATAGGTCATATTCACATCCATGTCAAAACTTTTACCAGACAGGACTTGGTGCTGTGGTCTATTGGGTAGGACCTCAGCCTGGAGTGCTGGCTTTCCAGACGGGCGTCAGTTCGAGTCTCAACTGCTCTGGATCAGAATAACGGGAGTCTAGCCCTGGCTATGGCCAGTGCCGACCCTGGGAAACGGCAGGGGCAGTTCAGGGCCTTGGGGCCTTGCTACCATATGACAGCCTGGATTGAGTCGCTGGCCCAGTCATGGCTAGTGTGTACATGGCAGAAGTGAACCAGTGGGTGCAAAGCGCTTTCTCTCACTCCAGCTCACCCTCATTCTAGAAATGAAGTGTATTCGGCTGCATGACGCACACAGGTGACTCTATAGTTGGCTCTGAGTCAGGCACAACCTCACTCAGAAAGCCACGCAAGGAGGTGCCTCCCCAAGAGCAGCCGTGAGCAGACCAGTGAAGGCCCAGGAGTGTGTTTCCAGTCCAACAAGGGATTCACAGTGGAGATCCCCCAGGGCCGTCCCAGTGCAGCGGCAGGAGGCAGAAGCACAGAAGATGAGCCCACCCCAGTGATGCTGCGCCGCCGTGCTGCAACGCTAGCATCCCACTGGGACGTCGGTTCAAGTCCCAGTTGCCCCCCGCTGATCCAGGTCCCTGCCAGTGTGTCTGGGAAAGTAGTGGAAGACAGCCCAAGGCCTGGGGCCCCCCGTGCTCACAGGGCAGACCTGGATGAAGCGCCTGGCTTTTGATTGGCCTAACCCTGACTCTCAGACATTGGAGGAGTGACCCAGCAGATGGGGTATACACATATACCTGCACACATATACAAACATGTTACCCTTCCCAGCTCTGCCTTTGAAATGAATCTTCTTTAAAAAACTATATCAAGGGCCTGGCGGCGTGCCTAGCGGCTAAAGTCCTCACCTTGAACGTGCTGGGATCCCATATGGGTACTGGTTCTAGTCCCGGCAGCTCCACTTCCCATCCAGCTCCCTGCTTGTGGCCTGGGAAAGCAGTTGAGGACGGCCCAAAGCATTGGGACCCTGCACCCATGTGGGAGACCTGGAAGAGTTCCTGGCTCCTGGCTTCAGTTCGGCACAACACCGGCCGTTGCAGTCACTTGGGGAGTGAATCAGTGGATGGAAGATCTTCCTCTCTGCTTTTCCTCCTCTCTGTATATCTGACTTCCAATAAAAATAAATAAATCTTTTTTTAAAAAACTATATCATTAGGGGAGCTGCGTTCTGATCTGGAAACAGTTGTAGTCTCCCTTGGCACAAGTGTGGACTGGGATTGGATGCACCGAACCGGGCCGGACCCCGACTCCCCCTGGTGTTCTGGAGGACCAGGGCAGATGTGGGATGGACCAGGCAGGGTCTCAAACCCCTACTGAGCCATGTGTGAGCCATATGTGGGTATAGACAAACCATGGCTGGGCTGGAACATCCAACAGCAAGAACCAGATTGGGTGGAAGGCCAGACAGGAAAAGCCACAGTTCCTGTTATTACAGGAGGTGGACTGAGTAGGGTTGGCTCATGGACCCACTGGTAAGCGTGAAACCTGGCATTGGGAGAGGTTCTGATGGAGGAGCCTGAGCAACTCCTCTGGCAGGACACAGACCCGGCAGGTAAACGCAAGAAACATGATAGGAAACAGCCCAGAAAAGGCCATGGAAAGCTACCCACTGGCATACAATTGGCTGATGTGGGGGCAAGACCAGGCTGAATCTGTCCACATTATCCACTGGCAAATCCAGGCACCAGTGTGGGCCGACCTAGGGTTGGTCGCAACAAAGACTAGTGCACATTATGGAATGCCGAGGTGAGGTTGCCTGTACCGGAAGCGACCGCAGCGCCCTACCAGCCTGAGAACAAGAAAGGAAGTGGGCAGAGCCGGCAGGGGAATAAGGGAGGGTTCCTTTGCAGGACAGCTACTTCCGCAGGAGAGCATGGGCTGGGATGGGGGCAGACCAGACTGGGCAGAGCTACCACACCTGTGCGCCTCATGCGGACCAGATCAGGGAAAAGCCGGACTCGGCGGATTATTCCTACTGGTGCAAGCAAAATTAAAGTGGGCAAGGGTTGTTTGGGCTTAGACGCAGCATCAACTGGAATCTGGGAGTGGGAGAGGCCTGGGAGGGAAATAGTGGGCTCATCCCTCTTGGGTTACCACTTTCACAGGACATAAAACTAAGATAACTAAGATAGCGGCTGGGGTGGAATGGGGTGTGGGACAGACTGGATTACTGCTACACTTACTGGCAAACCAGGGTAGGGAGTGGGTCTGGTGGGGGTTATTGTGGGTCGCTCCAACCTAGGCTGCAGCTCCCACTGGTTTATGTGAGGGCCAAGTATGTGCTGGGCAGAACCAGGCTGGACTGCAACACCCATTGGTTCCAGTGGAAGTCGGGAGTGAAAACAGAACCAACCCAGCAACTGCAACCACCAGCTGATTGGAGCGATGGACGGTGCCAGGCCCTGTACTTGTTAGCACATACAAGAAGTTTCTTTGGAGATCTTCCTAATCTAAATGCTGGACTCAGAACCCTAACGAAGAAAAGAGAGAAGACAGAACAGGTCAAGCAACCATCTCAGCTATGATGGACTATGTCAATCAGTGGATTTTTCAAAGATCTCATAGTGCTTGGAGTGGCAAGATTGACAGCGATTCATGACTGTGGCAATATCAAAACCACTTGAGCAAGAACCTCAGAGCATGCCCTACATCCGGGACCTGGGGAGGGTGGGAAATTGGGTGGGCCTTCTCCCTTAAATAACCCCCTTTAAACATGAAGGTAACAATATGGAAAACATACTAGTATTATCCACTTTCATGTAGCCCTTGAACCTTCTTACCCTAATTAACTATGTAAAAAATGTCAAAATAAAATCTTATAAAAAAAAAAAAAAAAAAAAAAAAAAAAAACTATATCATTAAAGTTTAACAGAGGGGCTGGCATTATGGCATAGCAGACTGAGTATCACTTGCAACTGGCAGTCAAGTGAAGTC